AAGGACACAGGGACAGTGGAGAATAGAGACTGCTCCCAGGTACTGGCGCCTCTGGGTGGGTCTGAAGATGCATTTCCAAAGAGTCGGGGCATTTGAGACTTAATAAAGTCTGGAAAACCCAGACTCCGCAAACAGTACCAATCGGAAGGCGCAATCAACTGAGACAAAGGATGCTGAAAAAAAAATCCTTAGGTTACCTTACAGGTTCTGGAACTAGGACCCTGGCTTCAGAATGTCTGTGAACCCTCTAAAATTTAAGCAGAATTTATTCTGAATGCAAACACTTGTGGCGAAGAGGGGATATAACAAATTTCAAAGGGGTCTGAATAAGAGGTTAGGAACTACTCGTTTTCTTAATTGGTATGTGAAAATACATTCTAACTGTACCTGGTTTTTAAAATATGCAATAATGGTTAACTAAGTTTCTTCTCTTTCTCCCTAAAGTTTCTAAATACTTTTAAAAATGTTTGTTTTTTTTAAAAGATAGATACTTATTTTCAGCATTAGATGAGCAATTCTTAAACTTTATGACAGGAGATACAAATTAAAATTTAAATACTTTATGGCAATCATGACTTCAACTTGCGGTGTCTTTGACTATTTCTGCTGAATAGTCTCAGAGTTGTTTAGTTACAGGTTTTGACGATGGGATCCTCTGTCCCTCTCCCCACCCCACACCCAGCCAACAATTTAAAAAAAAAATAGGTAAAACTTGAGTGTTAAACCAGCAATGGAAATATTTCAAAAATAAAGTGTAAAAATGACTTTCTCTAAATGAAAATCTCATTTACACTGTTTGTACACATAGGAACACTAAATCTGAACTTTAGAGTTGGTTCTCAAACTGTTAAGAATGGAGCGTGGAAGGGAGAAGGTCTATAACTTTGCAGGCCCCTGGGATGTGTCCTTACTGGTTCCAAAAATCCAATGTTCAGGTAGAATCAGCTTCTCTCCTTACATCTGGAGGGAGGGAGCAGAGGAAATTTACTCCAACATCCTCTCTCTAGAACAGGGGTTTCCAAACTTGGATGCATGTTAGAATCAACTAGGGAGCTTTGAAAAATCTCAATGATCAGGCCACACCCAGAACAATTAAATCAGAATTTATGGGGGTAGGTTCCAGGCATTGGTGTTTTATAAAGTGTCCTACGTAATTCCAGTGTGCAGCCAATGTTAAGAACCACGACTCTAGCAACACATAAATAAGTATTTTGAGATCAAATTTATACCAGGTTATTAATTTGCTTCAGAATATTTTTAAAGACTGCCAAAATGTCATTGTTTGCACATATCACCACAATTCAGGTCATTTATAGATGACCTCATTTATATCTCTTTTTATTAGGACAGTAAGTAAAAAGAGAGGTAGGCTAAATGCAATTGAATCCTAGAACAGAAAAAGATGTTGGTGGAAAAACTGGGGGAAGTTGAATTAAGTCTGTAGTTCAGTTAATAATATAGTACCAATGTTAATTTCTTAGTTTTGATAAATGCAACATGGTTTGAAGATGCGGACATTTGGGGAAGCTGGGTGTATACAGGAACTCTCTACCATCTTGACAATGCTTCTGTAAGTCTAATTATTTCAAAAGAAAAAGTTTAAAAAATTGAATTAAAAAAGTCAAGGCATGGGCCGGCCTGGTGGCGCACTGCTACAGTGCGCCACTTGGAAGCGCGGCGGCGCTCCCGCCGAGGGTTCGGATCCCACATACAGACCGGCTGCTCACTGGCTGAGCGAGATGCGGGCGCAACACCGAGGGTTGCGATCCGTTGCCGGTCACGAAAAAAGACAAAAAGGAAATAAATAAATAAATAAATAAAAAAGTCAAGGCAGAGTTGGTATTAATGGTGCAAAATTGTTGATTGACAATTTTAAATATTTAAAATATTAACGATTTTAAATGTTAAAATTAAAAAGTTAATTTTAATTTTAATATTCTAACAATATTAAATATTCTTGGGCATAATGTCCTGCACTGTGGATTTAGACACTTTATCAATGAATTCAACTCGTAGGGTTAGGGAAACTTGGGGAAATTTCCAATTTCCTGTCTACATTCTGCTTTATATATCTTTCCTCCAGTTTCATCTAGATCCCAAAAAATGTCAACAGCAGTTAATTTTGAAAGAACCACTGATAATATCTGACCTGGGAGTCATATATTCCAGTATTAGAAATTCTACTATTAGGAATGATAACACTGCCAGTAATAAAATCTTGCATTTGTACAGTACTTTATAGTTTGTTTATATGCACTTTCTAAGCATTAATCTTGTTAGATTTGCATCAAGAAATAGGCAAATACATGTGGTACACTAAATGCTGTCATAAAGAATGAAGCTTCCATTGCATTTTATTATAAAACACCTAGTATTGCACCTGTATAAATCAAACACACACTCAGCTCACAGTACACAAGCACAATTCGAAAGCACAGTTATTAAAAGATCCCGTGTTAGTGTCAAGTGGTATGTAAAGGGAAGGCAGGGGACATACTATAAAGCTGGTGCTTACTGACTTATGAATCCCCAGTCCAGAGCTGGTCACACTAATTGGTGGGGGCAGCTTTTGTTTTTCCCTTTCCTGCCAGGAAAAGGAGAAAAGTTTGGATTACCAAAGAGGCACCAGTGATGTCTGCTGGCCCAGGTGCTGTCTTGGCTATGGCTCACTGCCCCTGAGTCACGGCCACCCCTGTGCCCCTCTGTTTCCATCTCCTTGTGCTAGTGTCTCCAGTGCTAGTGCTACTGGTTTTTGATTTCCTCTGGGCCCCCGCGGGGCATCAGGCCCATCTGGCCGTTAGCGTTGGCCGGCTCCGGCTCTTTTCTGCTCACCTGCAGCTGGCTGCCCACCACACCTCCCACCGCTGGAGAAACCCTCCACCCAGACTCCAGGAAGGTGGTGCAGATGGCAGCGCTTTCTCTGAACCATGCCAGAAGGAGGGTTCATACCCTTTTCATCACTGTCCCCCATGAAGCCTGCATGTTGCCAACTCCACTGCTAGATGGTGTGAGATGATTTTCTCAAGCCTGGCCTCTATGCATGCATGCACACACACACGCACACACACCCAGACTCCAGGAAGGTGGTGCAGATGGCAGCGCTTTCTCTGAACCATGCCAGAAGGAGGGCTCATACCCTTTTCATCACTGTCCCCCATGAAGCCTGCATGTTGCCAACTCCACTGCTAGAGGGTGTGAGATGATTTTCTCAAGCCTGGCCTCTATGCATGCATGCACACACACACGCACACACACACACACACGCACACACACACGCACACACACACAAACACACACACACTTTGCTGGCCAGCACAGAGAACCAGGCGTAGCTGGATGGGACGACTGGACTTTGCGGTGTGCACTTCCTTTCTGTGATGTATGGCTTTCATGCCCTGCCTCTCCCAGGAGAAAAGTGACTTCCTACCTTGCAATCGATTCCTTCTGGCCAGTGCTGTTAGGGCAGCCATTGGGGCGTCCCTCTTCCTCTTCCGCCCAGGAGAACATGCTCATTGTTTGAGTCTTGTTTACTCAAAAGTGAAGTCTAATTGGGACTCATCTGGAGTTCATGGGCTCTTTTAGTAGAGTAAACTTACTTGGGAAATGTGAACAATGGAAATTTGATTAATTGAAACTTATGGTTTCCTTCTAATTAGTGAAAAAAGTAGGAAGAGCAATGTACGAGGTTTACAGCGATTCTCAGGAGAAAAGGGTAGAAACATTTGCATGTGTGAAAGTAATTGTTCTAGATGTGTATTTGTTTAAAAACACTTTTATTATTATTACTGTGTTGGCTCCTTTCCACTACAGCTTCTCTCTTGCCTGCCCTCTGGCCCAGTTCCCTGCAGGCTCCAGGGACAGGGGCTGACCTCAGCGCCAACCCCGCCCCATTTCTTGAAAAAGATGTGGCTTTGCTTCTGCTTTCTGTTCCTGAACACATCACCACCTACAATGTCATTAATTTATAGGGTGACTATATGTTCCAGTTTGCCCAAGCCAGTCCCAATTCACATCCCCTTTTATTCACAGCATCCTAGTTCAGATAATAAATCATATGGCCACCCTGTCTGTTTGCAGCTCCCCGAAGCTCAGTGTATCCATGTGTGGATACAACTGGTCACCTCTCCTCCTGACCAATGTGGATGCCGCCTGTTCTTGCTTTGGAGCCCATCCTGCCTTGATGGCACCGTTCCTGGGGCAACAGCTCCTCCATACTGTCTTGCTCAGCCACTAACCTAACTCTGATCTGTTAGTATTTTAGAAAATCATCTCTGTAATTCTAAACATTCAAAGGAGCACACACACGTGCATGTGTGTGTGTGTACAGAAGAAAAAGAGTATGAAACATTTGCTTAGAGTAGCTTATTCTTATCTAGGAATTGGTACAGGTATTCACTGTACTCTTTTGATAACTTTTACATTAAGAAGAAAATTGAAATTTTAGTAAAGATATTCCTTACTTCTATTGCAAAACACCACGTTACACAGCCAAACTGAAAGACCATTGAAAGCAAATACTTCTCGCAGGATGAGTGATCTGAATTTTTGATTTTTTATATTCTCTCTACTTCAGCTTAGACAGTGAAACTGCACAGACACTTTTCATTTTGAATTTATCATCAAATTCACTTCCTGTTATTGTTATTCCCACACTGGAAAGAAATGTTTAATTTCCAGAAGTTTTCATTTAACTTTAATAGAAAACAAACCCATACAGATCTACTTTAAAAAAAAAATAAACATTTTGGTCTGAATACGAATCTGCTTGATTATAAGAAGTAGTTTACCTAATGATTTCATGATATTAGCATCACCCTAATTATATCCTTTGGCTGTTCCAGGCATGATCACAAGGCCTTTGAAATTTGAATGATGAACTTGGACTGACCCCAGACCCCGGGACCCAAGTGGCCTGCAGCTGATTTCACTGCGGACGTTGTTCAGTGCAATTTCAGGTTCTGAGCTTTTCCTCCAGGTTCTGGGGGCCGGGCAGCACTTACGTCTCATCTGTGAATGCTATTCCAAAGTATTCCTTTTCCTTCAGGTTGAAGTGAGATGCCACGAGGTCAAGAAGCTCCTTGGCCAAAAGCTTGGGCTGGAGGGAGAGTACAATGGAAAAAGGGTAAGTGACCAGAGATGACTTCTCCTAAAACATGTAATCTCAGGCTTCTATAATGTTTTCAGTGGAATATCTCAAAGCCCAAGTATATCAACGCAAATGATTTTTATAAATCCCAAAAGAGTAGACAATGAGGACACTGCTGAGCAAAGATCAAATAAAGGGTCGTCAGTGGATTGAGACCTTCTGCCTTGTTTCCCCAGTTTTGTTCTGTCAACATATGGTACTTGTCTTTGGCAGGGCTATCAAACCCTGTGGCTTTCCTTCCCCACATTTTATGCTGAATGGACAAGAAGATGCCTTATTTTTTTAAATAAATTAATGTATTTAACAAACACTTATATAGTTTTTGCTCTGTGACAGGCACTGTTCAAAGCACTTTACAAATATGGTCCGCCCTCTGTGTCCACAGGTTCTGCATCCCAGATTCAACCAACCACAGACTGAAAATATTTTTTTAAAGAAAACCAATAAAATATAAAAATACAACAATAAAATATAATACAAATAAAAAACAATACAGTATAACAACTATTTACAGAACATTTACACTATAAATAATCTAGAGATGATTTAAAGTACATGGGAGGGTGTGCATAGGTTATATGCTAATGCCACATGCTTTGGATTGAATGTCCCCCCAAAACTTAATCCCCACTGTAACTGTTGAGGGTGGGAAATCCTATTATGGTAATTGGAAGGTGGAGCTTTGAAGAGGTGATTAGATTGTGAGGACCATGCCTTAGTGATGGATTAATCCATTTGATGGTGTAATGGCAGTCGTTGGCATGGTTCTAAGGGCTTTAAAAGGAGAACATAGGAGAGTCTCCCTGCTCTGCTATTTTGCCATGTGAGATTCCTGTGTCACTGTCATCACCAGTAAGGCCATCATCAGATGTGTTCCCTGGACTTCGGACTTCCCAGTCTCCAAAACTGTAAGCAATAAATTTCATTCTCTTACAAATTACCCAGTTCCAGGCATTTTGTTATAAGCAACAGAAATGAACTAATATACTACACTATTTGATATTTGAGCATTTTCAGATTTTTGTATGCTTGATGGATGCTGGACCTAATCCCTGTTGGCTATGGAGAGACAACTATACCAGCATCTTTAATCCTCATCACGTTGTGATGAGGTCATCTTATTATTAATCCCCTTGTGCAGGGAGGAAACAGCACCTGGAGATTAAACAAGTATTGGGAGGGACTGGGATTTGAATCCTGGCCATCTGCCCTCAATCACTCTACATGTTCCTGTAATTTTACATACAAACAATACAAGTGCCCTCCTGCAAGAAATGTTAAAATTAAGGTGACAGAGCCTTGGGAATAGCATTTGAGAATAAACTAAAATTTCACCCTCCTTTTAACTTTTCATAGGAGGAGAGCAGTCTTCACATACGTATTTATATGTTTTGTTATAAACTCTTTCTTTAAAATCTCTGTCAATCTAAAGAAGTACATCAGAGCTTGAGGCATAAAATCATTGCAGATGTTTGTGAGTAATGTCAATCCATTGTTCACCTTGGTCTATCACTATTGAAATGACCACAGAACACCAAGCACTGCAGTGTGGGAGGAGGGAAAGCCTGTCTGATGGGAATATCAGGCTAAAAGAGGTATTTCTAAATTACTTCCAGGTCATGCCTGGGAAAACACATTGCTTTTTCTCTAGGACAACTGCTCTATTCCAAGCGTATTACTGGACATCTCCAAGCTCAGAGCAAAAACAGACTTCCGAAGAGAAAATGTGTGTGTGTGTGTGTGCATTTATGTGCATTATTTTCAGTCTTCCTGAGAATATTTCCTACTCTGGAGGCTATCTTTGTTGCATTTCTGTGTTCGGAGACTGGATAAGATATAAATCAAGAGTTACATGACAGTTTGATTTCTTATCTCACTTTTTGGGTGCTGCTGTGGATTGAATTGTGTCTGCCCAAAATTCATATGTTGAAGCCTTAATCCCCAACACAATGGTATTGTGATACAGGGCCTTTGGGAAATAATTAGCTTTAGATGAGGTCATGAGAGTGGCCCTCATGATAGAATTAGTGCCCTTATAAAGAAAGACATCAGAGAGCTTGCTTCCTCTCTCTTTCTCTCTCCCCACCATGTGATGACATGGCTAGAAGGTAGCTGTATGCAAGTCAGGAAGAGAGCCCTCACCAGAAACAGACATTGATCTGGGACGTCCAGCCTCCAGAAAATAAATTTCTTTCTCACAAGAAAATTAATTTCTGTTGTTTAAGTCACCCAGTCCGTGATATTTTGTTCTGACAGCCAAGCAGACTAAGACAGGTGCACTTCCTTTAATTCAACAGACATTTATTTATTGAGTACCTACTGTGTGCAGGACACTAGCCAAATGCTGAAGAAGATACAAAAATGAGCAAGAAACAGCACCTGCCAATAAGGACCTTCAACTTTCATCAGGGCCACAGAGTCAGAGCTAGTGTTCAGTTTAAAAAGCCCAGGCAGGTGCCTGCCACCCTTTGCTGCCTGGTTCCTAGGCTCAGGGGGGCGGCCTCAGGACCCTGAAGACCATCAGTCCACCAGTGAAAACTGATTCAACTGACAAGAGTGGGTTTGAAGTTATGGCGGAACTTCCTCCCCAGAAGACAGAAATCAGCAGGGGAATCCATCTTGATAAATCAACCCCATCTTATAATCTGTCCTTCCATTCACACTAAACTTTGAGAAAGTGAAAAAGCAATCTCTGGAACCACCAGCAAATTCAAGATTTTATGTCAAGGCCTCCTTCACTGATAACAGAAATTCTACCCTGGGGGGAGACTGAGGGGTCAACATGGCACATCTCAGAATGTCACTGATGAATTATGAGGTAGAATGCAAGCGAGAGATCCTGAAGCATCATGGAAATGATTGCTTGCTAGGGGCCAGCACTGTCTCCCCCCAAGAAGGCATCTGGCTGCCCAGTTACAAAGCACTGAATGCACTGGTTGTGACTGGCTAAGGTAGTGTGGCTGCTTTTTAAATTGCAACATGGAGATGCTCCTCAACTGACGATGGGGTGATGTCCCAATAAACCCAATGTCAGTTGAAAATATGGTAAGTTGAAAATGTATTTAATACACCTAACCTGCTGAACATCGGAGCTTAGCCTCTCCTACCTTAAACATGCTCAGAACCCTTATATGAGCCTATGGCTGAAGAAATACATGACACTGTAGAGTGTCAGCTGTTTGCCCTTGAGACCCCATGGCTGACTGGGAACTGCTGCTCACTGCTGCCACCCAGCTTCACAAGAGAGTATCACACCACATATCGCTAGCCCAGGAAAAGATCAAAATTCGAAGTACCAGTTTCTACTGAAAAATCCTAAGTCAAACCATGTAAGTCAGGGACCATCAGCACTATATTTTTTTTGTCCAAACAACTGACATCTCTTTCAAAGTAGTCACAAAATTTCTAAGATGCTTGCTATTTGTAAAACATTTTCGGTAACATTTTTGGGTTTGTCCTTGAAGCTTGTGTCAGATTTGTAAAAGCACCCTCACTGGTGATAAATCTTTTTGTGCTCAGAACAGATTCGATTTTTTTCAAAGGTCAAATGCCACGTGAAGTCCAGACTAGTGAATGGGAAGCGAGGAGGAGGAGTGGGTGGTCATGCTGGGTCCACCCTGTTTTCTAAAATGAGGTGTGACTATAAAGTAATTATTGTGGGTTCTTGGGCATGATGGCAAGAGATCCAGCCCACCCTTGCAAATGACAGAACTAAGATTACTTTCTCTTTGAGAGTTCAACTTTAAAGCAATATCTCAATGGATTTGATCAGAGATGCATAAGTTTACCCAGAAAGAGAAAGAATTATTTGCAGGGCTGGTATAGTTAATCCATAACCTGCTTCAATGTATTCACTATCCCATGGAGTGGGTGGGGGGTGGATGGAAGGTTGGGTGTGCGGAGGAGGTTGATATAAGTTTACCCAGAAAGAGAAAGAATTATTTGCAGGGCTGGTATAGTTAATCCATAACCTGTTTCAATGTATTCACTATCCCATGGAGTGGGTGGGGGGTGGATGGAAGGTGGGGTGTGCGGAGGAGGTTGACGGAGCAGTTTGGGGGGAGGAAGACAAGCTGGGGAAGCAAATGTGATTGTAGCCAATAGGCGTTGAGTATTTGGGCTCCTTACCCAGTGGTAAGGCCTTTTAAATGGCAGAAATGGAGGTATGGGGTTACTTTAGCTGATTGTATTACATTTAACTCTTTTTCTTCTAATTCCGTGCCTTCTGAGGAACTCATTGAGGCATTACTATGTCCTTGATATGGTGCTGAGCACCCTCACATGTGATCTCATTAGTGTCGAAAATAGAGCTGATCACTCCTTTGCCAAAGAAGAGTCTAATACTTGGAGATGTCAGGCTGGCAGTCCTCAGTCTCCTAGCGAAGCCAGGATCCAAAACGAGGTCTTGATACACACAATGGAATATTATTCGGCCTCAAAAAGGAATGAAATTCTGACACAGGCTACAACATGGATGAACCTTGAAGACATTACACTAAGTGAAAGAAGTCCCCCACAAAAAGATAGTGTATCATTCCTTATATGAGGTCCCTAGAATAGGAAAATTCATAGAAACCATAGAATAGAGGTTGCTAGAGGTTGATGTGCCCTGAGGGCCCTGCCTGGGTAAGGGTTATACAGTCATTTGAAGCCAGGATACTGACACCGTGGATTTATACATCAGTACTTTGAACTTGGTTAATGCGAGTCTTCCCCACGGGTGAAAAATTAGGTGTCTGAGCTTCAGACGTAAAGAAATGACTCCACACACTGAAAAATTCATCAGAAGAATGGATACTACCTTGGGGGCTTGTGGAGACTGACTTTTGGTCTCTCCATGGTGACATGTCCTTTTTACATAGGAACTTCTACAAAAAGAAAACAATTTTTCTTGGTGCCTTAAAAACTGAAGGCAGTTAAAAAGTTCTGGGCAATAGCAACATGACGGG